ATATATATATATATATATATATATATACACACACACACACACACTTGGACATCAATTAGTGTCACGTACAATACTCAATTAATTGAACTTCACAAAAATAACCATCTAGTGTTTCTGATTTTTCCAATTATCCAGTAACCAAAATAATGGCATTATGATTGTTTGTTGTTGAAGCAAATTTAGACATCCCATACTAGAATAATTGACTAGATTAATGTATGAATTAATAAGCCTGATTATTAACTGATTAGTAAATTCCACTAATCACTAGTATCACTGCAATACCTTTTTTTTTTCTACTGTATTATATCCAGCAATTTTGGTCCAATGTTAAATTTACGAATTAGTGTGGAGATTAGCATGATAGCATATTTGGGTTTGGCAGTGGCAGATTAGGTGAGTTGAAGTTAAACTTAGGTAACCAAGTAATTAAGACTGTTAAACATTTTCCCAGAATTTTTTAGTGAAACTAAGAGGAAAGAATGTACACGAATCATAACTTACGGATACATCGTCATCTTCACAAAGGTCTAACTGAGCATCAATAGCTTTATCCACCAGATGTGGGAAGCTCTTAAAAAAGCGGGTTATGAACTGTGAAGCTAGACGTTTTTCATTAGTAGAACCTTTTACAGCATCTAGTATCTCAAAGTATTCCTTTTCATGCTAGAAACACAAATAAATGTACAAATGGATTACTTCAAAACTGAAAAACCATCCTTGTAATAATCATAAAAAAATCTAATACACTGTTCAAAACTGTTTCTCACCTTTGCCTTAAAAAATGGTCAACAATACCATTGTTTAATAAGTTTCATTGTGAAAATAAATCTGTATTCTTCACTGATTACAGTAATAATGAATTAAATATATCATAAACAATGTTGAAATCTGAAGTAAATTTAAATATAATTTTGTAGATATGATGAACATTTATACTTCAGTTAAGTAATATGACAAACTACATTAAAATTTGGGGTACCATGGTTTGATTTAGTAAACTGAAAAAATCACTGCAGAATAGATGTAAAACAGCAGTAGGTAACTGCTACTAAAGTGTAACAAAGTATACAGTGTGTGTGTAATAAATCTATTTATTACTATGTTATAAAAGTAAAAATAAATTTTGCAAAAGCTTGTGCATTTTCAAAGAGTAGTTTCTTCATAAAAAGCAATACTTTTGACACTTTTTTTACTCATAAAGATAAAAAGAACAGGACTACTCTTTGAAAACACTCAAGCTTTTCAATAATAATTTTATATTCATATAATCACTTTGTAGTGGTCCATAGTGTTCATTTACTTCATTATTGTACTGGTTACATGCTGAAAACATATAAAAATATTATTTTACTAATGAATGAGAAATCAAGCACCAAATTATGCTTGTTTTGACAAGGAGCTTACAAAATGAGATTGTTTCTTGTTGAAAATTGTGCGTGTCATTAAGAGTTGAAGATTTTTTTCCAGAAACATGTGCCTCTCCACTTGACTACTTTCAATTATCAATTTTTCATTTTATCATAACCAAATAAAGATATTCTTCAGAAAATGCAGTTTCTGAGAAAGTATAAAAATACAATTAATTAATTATTTCCTAAACATATGTTTGTATGGTTGAAATCAATATCCAGAACTAAGTAACAGTAAGTACAAAAAACTTGTAAGTGCTCGTAGTCCTTGAGTTAGTCACATATTAAAGTGACAGAATAAATCCATCAAGCAGTTCTGATTTTTTCTCATTCCCATATCAGTCTTACATCATTGGTGGCAAAAGTTTTTGAGAGTCTGATAAAAAAAAATGCTTTACACAATCACTTAACAAAGTTTAATATTTTGTGGATAGTCAACATGGTTTTACTTGGGGCAAATCTTACTTTACTTATCTTTTAACATTCTTTGGAGAGGTTATTGCTTGTGTAGATGAGGGTAAGGGTGTGAATTTGATGTATTTGGATTTTCAGAAAGAATATAACACATTGTCACATATGCTACTTGTTACATTCTCTATAGGTGGGGGGGGGGGACAAGTTGGCTTGTTGGATAGAAAAATGGCTAGATGGAAGAAAGCAGAAGGCTGTTACTAATATAAATTAAGAACAAACCTGTTGGTCCACCTAGGCTGTCCCATACCACCAAAAAAAAACCTTACAAATTAAATAAAACACTCAAAGCCAACTCTAACCATTCAAATATTTATCAAGCTTTCCCTTAAATTTACTGCATCCACCACATCTGCAGGCAACCCATATAAATGGATTTCTGTAAAACTGGATTAATATCACAAGCAGGGTACCTCAGAGCTCTGGGTTTAGTTAGGTTCTTTGCTCTTTTTCATCAGATATAACTGCAGGTCTTGAGTGTTGCTGGCTGTGATTGTGAAGGGGATGCTGCTGCTTTACAAAAATACTTAGATTATTCAATGTTTGGCTTTTATAATGGATTGTCTTCAGATATGATGGATGCAGTAATTTTAAGCGAGCACAAGGAAATGCTTGGTAAATATTTAAATGACAGAAGGTGGCTACGAGTTTTTTGTTGTTGTTTTTTAAGTATATCTACAAGCTTTAGTTTAGTGGATGGAACAACCTAGATAAGCGCTTGTTGTTCTTAAATTTAATGTTACGTTAATTACAAAATAGTAGCAATAGTCATGGAAAATGGTACACATTTAGACTACATAATATATCCATTCAGAAATAAGAATAAATGAATTTATGTGTGTTCCGTATGATGTCACAACCATCTATAAATATTGTAACACGCTGAAAACAACTATTTTAGTAATAAGTTCATTTTAAAAACAGTATTACACTTGTCTTTTACTATCAGTCACAGACAGATATTAAAATTTAAACGTTAATTGTAAAAAGTCTGGACCCTTTGATTTAATATTTGAAGTCCGTGAGTTATGACTAACACTCAGAAAGAGTAAGACTAATGTCAGTAATGACAAACTACTTAACTAGTCACAAACTTGAGACAAAGTCAACAAAACAGCCAGACTCGAGTATACAAAACAAATATGCAATTAATTCTTACCTCTAGAATTTTTTCTTTGGCATCGGCCAATACTTCATAATTTCTGTAGAGTTTCTCCACACTATCCATCTTCCTTTTCTTTTAAAAGTTTAAGCCTTTCGACGGAAATGTTCTACTTAAATATAATTCATTCATACGTTACCGGTAAACCACGATAAGTACCCCATCATCAACTAATCCCAGTTCACAACAGTCGCGAAAAACCCTCAAAACTAGCAATAGATGGCGACGATAAAATAAACAATAAACTGCTTTAAAGTTGTTTATTATTATTATATATTTTTTTCACGTTAAAAGCTGATTTAATTTTTAGATGTAATAGTGTTATGATTAAGAAGCATAATAATTTCATTTATAAAGTTAGATAATTCAATACTTTTTATTTAAACCTAAGTATACAAGAAAGTGCGTTTTGCATAACTTCATATTGGTTGTTTAACACGAGCTATGAACAGAAAACTGGAATAGCAGCATTTCTAATATAAAGTTTATCCTCATAAGCTTACGTTAAGCTACTATTGTACAGAATCATTCGTAAAACTCAGATAGTTTTTGCGTATTCATAAAACAATTGAAAACAACATATAACAGGTTGAAATATTTATATTGTGGTATTCAGGTACGATAGTGTCCGACAGATAAATTCGAGTATTAACAAAACGTAGGTTAGGGAACTATTCATAGTATTATGCAGAAAATGAGCACTGATAGCAAACAAAAACAAGCAAACACAAGTGACAAATGAAACGAATCTTTATTCACACTGATGTAATGTTTTTCATCTATTATAGCCATTCTTTATGTATTGAATGAGTTATAACTTGTTTAATATTGTTACGTCTCCGTTTGTTAATTAACTTTTCATAACTTCGTTCCGACGAAACTTTAGCGACACAAGTCCT